CCGATCGCATCATCAATCTCCTTGAGGAAGAGACAGTTTTCCTCCACACCGGGCGTGCCTGAGAGGCAACAACAAACATCAAACACACATGACGCGAAGTAGAGTAAGAAGCGATGTGGACTTCATTCGCATTCGTGCAGTGGTGAGCTTCAGAGAGTAGCCAGGTACCGAATGTGTTGTTGATAGCACCAACAGCGACCACCAGCTTGTCGTACGGCAGGGTGAAATCGCGCGCCGAGTCATCGAGACCGGGAGTGCTCACTGATCCGGGCATGGGGTTTAGTCTTAGTGCGAGAATGTTCCAGCATTCAAAGGCGGTATGAGAGGCCTACCGTGGCAAGAAACCGTTTTGTTGGTGGGATCCACATCGGTCGCCACAGCTTCAAAGTAGTCAACATCAGCGTGACTGCGGCGGCAGTACTTTCGGATGGGCTCGATGATGCTGTGAGTGTATGAGCACTTTTCATGGACCGCAAGCATTCAAAACGGAGCCGCGGGGTGCATTGAGCGGTGGGAGTCAACGTACGCTTTGGGTTCGAGCGTACCCACGGTGACCGAGGGCAGAAGCGGGGTGAAGAGGAAATAGTTGCGCGGAGACACGATCGTGACGTCGTACTTGCTCGTGTCCAGCTCTCGCACCACGCTCAGCGCGCCCCAGCCTGCGAGCCAGCGCGTGAGGACCAACAAGATCAAGTCTTCTTGAGGCCATGCAATGGCTCTACGAGCCGAAAGTCCCAGCTGAGAACGAAGAATACGCACCGGAGCCGAGGATGACGAGCTTGGGCTTGGGTTGGCTCTCCGCAGCGAACACGTGTCCCTCTGTGAGGTCGCGGTCGTGTGAGAACAAAAGAACATCGCCGTGGAGTTTAGGACGCCAAAACGCTCCGGAGTGCCCAGCACCAGAGACACCACGGCCGGAAGGGCGAGAGCGTACGGAGGAGATAGAGGCCACCGCCAACGCCCACCGCGGTGATGGCAGCCACCACGGGCCACCTGAAAGCGGACTGGCGGCTGTTGTGGTGGTGGTGCAGTTGAGAAAGGGGAAAGATACAAGCACACCGCTCAGACAGGCAGGCAGAGAGCATCACTGAGGGCTACCTGGCAGAGCCGGTGGAAGTGGTGGACGAGTAGAGGCGTCCACCTGAGGGCACTTGGAGTTGTTTGCTGCCATGAGAGATGGTGGTGCGAGAGGCGAAGCATGCCCGCTGCATGCCTCGGGTACTGGCGACCTTGTTGGAGGAACGCAGCATTGTGTTGTGTGGTTATGTTGTTGGGGCGACAAGGAGACAGCAAAGGTCTTGGCGAGAAGAGTGGGGTTGGGGTTGCCGAGAGTCAGGAGTTTGGGAAGAGTGAGCAAGTAGAGCGTGTGGTGGGTGGCAGTACCCCACCCGTTGCGGGGCCAGCACGAGTGGTCCCAACCGTCCCAGAAGCCAACACACATTTCGTCACGCGACTTCTCGCGTTTGTTCGCGTGATTTGTAGCAACGCCCTTTTTCTCTTTTTCTCTTTTTCTCATGATCATTTCTCTTTGTCTTCGCTTGGAAGGACGCAGCTGCGCCAAGGCCACACGCACACGCACACGCACACACGCACGAACATCGCATCACACATCCCATTTGTGTCATCACTCGCGTAAGATTTTGAAAAGAGTCCCGATCTGGCTCAACTCTTCATTCGGCGCAAGGAAGCAGGAGGCCGGACAAGCGAACCGGAGAAGTGTGGAGCAGCGCGAGAGCGACGGTGGAGGGTGTTGGCTGGCTTTAGATGGAGACCATGTCTCGGAGGTTGAGGTCCCTGAGGAGGTGGTAGTAGGTGGAGACGTTCTGCTTCTTGAGGTGCTTGAGCAGCGCCCTCCTCTTGTCGATCGTGATGCCGAGCGCCCTCTTCGTCCGTTG